CAAAAGTGAGATGGAGAGAGAGCAGAGAGAGCAGACGAGAGAGAGAGAGAGAGAAGAGAGAAAGAGATAGCATCAAGTGTTTGCTCAATTCCATACTTTGAATGTACACTTTACGAGTATCTACGAGTCTGTCGTCTCTCTCTCTCTCTCTCTCTCTCTCTCTTTCTCACTCTGTCTGTCTGTTTCTCTCTTTCTCTCTTTATCTCTTTCTCTCTTATTCTGTGTCTGTCTGTTTCTCTGTCTCTCTCTCTCTCTCTCTCTTCTCTCTCTCTCTTCTCTCTCTCTCTCTCTCTCTCTCTCTCTCTCTCACTCTGTCTGTCTCTTTCTCTCCGTCTCTCTCTATCTCTTCAGACGCTCTCTGTCTCTCTGCGTCTCTCTCGCTCCCTATGTGTAGTATGTAGTATGTAGTATGTAGTATGTAGTATGTAGTATGTAGTATGTAGTATGTAGTATGTAGTATGTAGTATGTAGTATGTAGTATGTAATACACAGTGTATAATGTATAGCAGGCCTATATAGTATATAGAATAAAGTACATGGCATATGGTATATAGTATATGGTATGTGGTTTATAATATATAGTCTATAGTCTATAGTCTATAGTCTATAGTATATAGTATGTAGTATGCTTTCAAAGAGAGATACGACAATATAATTGTAATTTTTAATTAACATAATTTCTTGTTCCAGTGGGTTTTAATAACAAGCACAATGAGCATTTGTAAACGTTATTTTTCGTGTATTTTTTGCGTTGTTCATATCTGACGTTATCATCACTCGATCCCAATATCTGAATATCATCACTTCCCACGTAAAGTTCCGTCATCGTGACAGTGGGCCGCCGACTAACTCGTTGCAGGAGCCGTAACGACAAAAGCCGCCGCGAAGAAGGCGACGGGTAGAGGAAAGACGTGGCGTCTCTTGATGTGCCTGAGCAACAGTTCTAAGGGGGAGCTGTGCCTGAAGTCGTGGGAGAGTCGGCAGCAGCTAGCTACGGGACGTAAGGTGAGGGGAGTAGCAGAAGGTCGGGCTGCCCCGCTTCTGTCATCTATGAATATCAGGGGTTGATAATGACAGATTGGTCATTATTTTGTCATTATTTGTTATTATTTTTGTCATTATTAATCCCTGATGAATATCGAGAGCCGTGTGCAATTTTTGTGCAATACAGCCGTGTGCAATACAGGCAAACATTTGTTGTCGTGCCGCGTGTAATTTTCGAGCGTGCTAGTTTGTGGTGATGCACGCCAGTAAAGCGCGAGTATGTAGAATTAATTCAGTGATTGAATTAACTGTATAGGTATACCATTAGAAAAGCGCGTGTACGTGGACTTAATGCCGTAGCTAGAAGAATGGTATACCTACTACTGTGAAGCGCGTGCACGTGGAATTTATGCCGTGGTTGGAGGAATGGTATAGTACTCGTAAAGCTAGAGTACTTGTGATTCTGCGATACCTGTGTTTGGATGGAAATTACTTTAGTGTATGCATACACAAATATTGATACGAGCTAAATATAGCGTACACATTAATTCCCCGTGCACCCCACCCCACCCGATTACATTCTGCTTCCCAAACCAGTCGACATCGCGCAAATGCCGTCTAAACAGTGCTTACTGTCTGGATATTATCAAGAGTGCATAATAGATCTATTATGCACTCTGGATATTATATAACAGAAAATATATGCACTACTAATAACAATAACGGGATTTCACGACTGAGGGGCGGGGTGGGCGGGGTGGGAGGGGCGGAGAAGGCCGATAATTATAATATCAGAAAATAGGTAGTAGTAAATTAATAGCTGTGTTTCACGACTGAGGGGCGGGGTGGGGGGGGGTAGCGGGGCGATCTCTCATCCCGTAGGCGTGGCGCATGTACCGGACGGAATACAATGTTTTTTTTTCCGTCAGTGTTTATCATAAAAAACATAATTATAACGTACGGGTGGGTGTATTTGCTTCCCCTTCTATTTGCATGTAGGGGATTCAAAGATCACCTCGCTGTTTCAGCCACCCTACACGGTCTCTAGATGTTATCAGCGGGTGAATAATAACAGATGTATTTATTGTCATTATTCAGTCCTGATATTATCAGCAGGAGTGTCATAATATAGACATAAATAATATAAATAAGATAATATAAATAATGTAAATAATATAATAAATAATGTAAAATAATACATAGTAGAAATTTAGGACGAAAGGGTAAATGGGCGGGTAACGTAATATATAATATAATAATATAAATATTATAATATAATAATATATAATCATGTATATTATGTCACCCCTGATATTATCAGGAGTAAGATAATATAGAATCAAGAGTAGATAATAACACATGTGTTATTATCTACTCTTGATAGAATCTATATTCTATATTCTATATTATTCTATTCTATTCTATAAATATATTCTATATTCTATATTCTATTCTATTCTATATTATTCTACTCTATTCTTATTCTATATTCTATATTATCTTACTCCTGATATTATGTGTACACAACATGAACACTTGACTCCCGGCCCTTGATCCGGGCCGTTAGATATGAGTGGTTGTTTATAGGCGTTACGATACGACTGCAAGATAATCTAAATGCAGCGTCGCTTCCTCTCTGTGTGGCTCCACGCTGCGCTCTATCCACGCAAACACTTTACTCTATATCAGATTGCTGCAAAGATGTGCGTGACAGATGTCAAGTGAAATATCGGTGATAGAAGCGAATAAAATATTTGCCGGCACCCCCACACATCGCAAATGGTTGAGCATGCAAGCACGAGGCTCTGTGGTTTGAGTTCTGTATAACTGCTGCTTTTAAGCAATTATGCCGAATTGGAAAGTGTCAAGTGATGTCGAATGTTTAAATAAAAATATAAATTAATAAATAAACAAATTAATAGATAAATAAATAAACACCTAAATAAATAAGCAAGTAAATAAATAAATATCTAAATAAATAAACAAGTAAATAAATAAACACCTAAACAAATAAACAAGTAAATAAATAAATAGACAATAATATAGCATCGTAGGAGGGATGTTAATTCTCGCCAAAAAATGTTCCCTCTTTAATTGCATTAATGTTTCCTGTGACTCCGTGCGCTCCCGCTGTTGCTGAGATCAATAAAACTGGATAGAGTATCGTTCTCTCTGGGTTTAATTGTGGAATCTGCATGCCAGCTGTGAGAAACGCGCTTGAAATCCTTCTAAAGCTGCATGTGGTGTGTGTTTGTAAAAATCGAGTTTTGTTTAATTAGAGGGGATATTGGCATAGGCCATTAGTGGAGATGTTTATCAACATCTGCATAGAATGTCTTCTTGCATTTTAATGCCACCATTGATCCTAATAAGGTTCTAAGCGAGATTGCTCTTCGCTCTGTTTTGATATTTTAGGCAAATATGCATTAGAGAAACGACACTTTTTAAATTTGGGTTTAGCTACTCACGTAAGTCGCTAAAGAAATGGTCTTGTGGTGGTATTAGCTGTCTAGTTTCGATTTTGATCTGCTGTATGCGTTCTATAATTACACACACACATCATCTGGAGCTACGAAGCTATAATACACGAGCTACGAAAGTATATACCTCTTATATAATTGCATATACTATGATTTATTAATGTTTACGTTGCTGGAAAATGTTGCGAGGAAATTGCGGTTATTTAATTAATAACCGCTTTTGAATGCGGCTGACAAACAAACTTGGATGAATACGTAAAAAATGACCGAAAACACGGCCTGTTAATTACATTATAGTCTACAGGTATGTGGCATGTTATATCTCGTAGAGTGCCATAGAATGAAATTAAAGCATTTTCACTTGGGCTCACTTTGCACGAAAAAACTGTTATGTATACATTCAGTTTGGAATTATTTAGACAGTTCCAATAGATCATTAAAAATACCCATCTGTGTTAACGATGTTAATCAATTGCAAGATTAATGGACATGCACAAGGATGCCTGGAATTCTTACCATCTGTTATTCAATTCAATTTCTTTTTTCTTTTTCAAATCTGTTAGAGTTCACACAATGTACACCAGTCATTACACAGCGGGTCGTCGTATTATATGCTAGAAATAAAACCATTAAGCCTGCCAGTAAATACGGTCTGTAAACAATTTCTGCTCAGCAATAAAAAGGAATTAACTTATATAAAGAATGACAAGTTATTATGCACAAAGTTGCCCAAATTGGTTATATTAGCCGCTAAAGGTTACTGTGTGTTGGAGAGTAGCGGTCATTGAATAAGTTTATATATAATACGGAAAGTATGCTGTAAAACTATATTATCCGCAATCAAGCAGTGGCAGGGGGCAATAATTATTTTTGTAAAATTTTGTAGCATATCATTCCGCCTTATCTAAATTACGCCAATGGCTATGTTGGCGCAATTTGATGATAATGTTGCAGTTATAATTACGTTCTACATTCTGATAGGTTAACAAGATCCCTGGTATCCAGGAGAAACTAGTCGATAAGGCGGGATTCTGCAGAACGATGCGATCGCTCAGGAATCTACCTGGTAAGTTGACGAGCGATCTTACACATGTACGATCAAACCCACACCAAATCTACCTACATCGTCGACGTGGCCATTAATTTCTCATAGGAATCGGACTGCATCAATTTATAAAGTTATAGTGGAAGCATTGGCTGCATAATATTAAGAGTGAGATGTAGATATTTCACAGAGGAAACCATAGATATATATAGAAACACGCGGATAGCTGACTTCCGCGCGCTAACGATCAATCACGGAATGGTTATACTTTACTGACGCGATTGATTCGTTTACACACTATATGTGGCTGTGCTTACACACTATGTATATATATATATATATATATATGTACTCATGTTGTAGCGTTAGCGAGATCGCCTATATCTTCAACGTGCTTCGTTCTGCCGAGAGAACGGCAGAAATTTCTACAATTCACAAGCAACGCGGGCACGGACGTTCGATGGCTTGTGAAGCCTGTGTCGCCCCCTGGTCGGGTGGAGATTCTTCAAGACATAGAGGAACTCGTACTCGATCAAATAGTCGGGTACCTACTTATCATCGTTTCTTACTTTCCTAGCTGTTATAGCGCAATTTGCGGTCGCATATTTTATCGAGATACTAATATGGCAGATAAAGTCTATGTCCCCCTGACCTCTGTTTGACCTGGCTCGTTTAGCTATTTCTGACTAATATATATAATATATAATATATATAGGGTTAGGGTTAGGGTTAGGGTTAGGGTAGTCAGAAATAGCTAAACGAGCCAGGTCAAACAGAGGTCAGGGGGACATAGACCCTACGAGCACTAGTATGGTCTGCTATCAATTGTTGCTGAACACTTGTCTTGACTGTTTGCAGTTTTTTGCTCTGACAAATTACAGGGGGTCCCCCAAGTTACAGGGGGTCCCCCATATTATGTCATGACCATGAAGCTTTTAGGGGCGGGTAGTTTACAGAGCATGTACCACTCATTCATCGATGTTATGTCTATGAACTTTCACTTCATCAGATAACGCAGCAGAAGAGGTGCGCCAATTTATTAAACGCGTTTTTTTGGTTACGGGTAAAACTAGCGCGCTGCATGAAATCCTGCCGAGAGGTGTCAGCACCTGACGGCAAGAGCAAAGACCGTATACATACGGTGCTTTGGCACTGATCTCATGTATAGAATTTGACACTGAAGTATGCATAGTAAGTACATAGAGATCAGTGTACTTTGGGTATGTATCCGTATATATTTCTTACAGTTAAAACAAAAGCGAATATTTATCTTCTCGTGGATTTTCCTTACAGCGACAGGAAGGTGGTGTTGGAGCAGTACTTCAGCAAACCTCTGCTCGTGTTTGGGAAACCAGTGAGCGTGCGCGCCTACGCGCTGGTGACGGGGCTTCAGCCACTCAGGGTCTTCCTGCATTCAGGTGGCCTCGCCTTCTTCAGATATGACTACACAAAGTCCTTCCATAAGGTATAATGCAGCTCTCTCACGTGAACGCGTGTTTAAGCGCGTGTAAACTAAGTGCATTGAATGCACAGTGACGGGAGTGTCGTGCATGAAGCTATTATGTAGGCTGTAGCCATACCATGGTATAATACACCATTCAGCATAGGAAATTGGCAGGAAGGGAGTTATTATATATAAAAGATTAATATATTGTCAAATTTCTCTATAGATTCCCAACCGGGTCTGGAACTTTGCTCAGCTGCGTCAGTATCTCGCCCACAACTTCGGCCACAAGGTGGCGACAGTGTTCTTCAGCAATCTGGAGTCTGTGATAGTGCAGACGCTTTTCGTTGCGGAACGGAGCCTGGTTTCCAAAATCAGCAGCAGCAGCAGAAGCAGTGACAATTTCTATCAGCTGCTCAGCTTTGATGTCATCTTCAACACGACACTTCATCCTATTGTGCTCGCGGTTAGTGAGTCTATGCACAGACTTGTCCGCTATCCTGTGTGTACCACTGCTCACCCTGTAGGCTGTGGGAAATGCTATCCCCCGGGCGTGGAGGGACAGTACCGCAATGTGGCAGCACTGCTGCACTAGTGTTAGGATTAGGGTTAGGATCAGGGTTAGGGTTAGGGTTAGGGATATAAGGCCATGTCTAGTACGAAAGTATGACTGTGGAATCTTTCTGTGGAAGATTTGGACTTTGAAGTATACGTCAACAGTATCACGTGACTGTCCCTCTACGCCCGGGGGATAGCAACACCCGTAGGCTGTAGGCTGTAGGCTGTAGTTTTTATCCTGTGCTCTCGCCTAACCTCACTAAACACACCTATGAGTTGTGGCGAAACGATCTACTCACTGGCATATGTGCCAGTCAATGATTTACGTAAGCCGTTAAGAATCATTATCGTTTCGCGGTGCTTATTTTTCATTATTTATAAATTACTCGGTTCCTGTTCATTATTCATTGCAGTGTTGTTGCATCTTTATTGCATAATGCAGGAGAGCGGGTTGCAGATTGAAAACTAGTAGGCTTGTAGTTCAGTCTCTTTCATCTTGCACGCACTTCTTTGATCTTGAGTGTTTCAGCGATCATACTCTATAATCTCCAGTCTACAGTTCACATGGGTGTGAGTTATCTATGTTAAACTCGAGTTATATCTTCATCGTTAAAAATTATTTGTACTGTTCCAGGTGGATGGACAGCCATCCTTAGAAATTGCCCCGCATCCACGATTCGTGGGTGAAGGTGGTGCTAGAGAGAAGTCTCTATCAGAAGATATCGTGTCATTGATTTTCAGTGACGTTGCGGTCGCTAATGAAACAGTGAACTTGCTTGAGAAGGCGAGTGCAACTATCGGAGTGACGGTGAGCGTACGTGGAAGCTGTTAACTTCATTCGTAAATCTTTAGTTAGTTGAATTTAAAATCGTTCAAGAAAATCCGTGTTACAGTGCCTAATTAGTGAGCCTCACTTCACTATCACTTATTTTAAAGATTACATAATGGAGTGTTAATACAATGAATATCAGATGTCCAGATATGCAGACTTAACTGACAAGGTAATAACATATGGCTCATATAAGGCCATAATAAGATATCCAGGCTTAGCTAACAAGATATATGTTATAATATATAGTTACTGTTGTTATTTCTGCAGGGTGTGAGGTGCACGGACCACCATGAAGCATGTCTAACGGATTCTGATCTTACTTACCTCATCACAACTCGCAAGCAGGCTGCTAATGCTGGTGGCTTCAGCCAGGTAGAGTGTCATAATATAGACACATGTATATATTATACACAGATACACAGTCTGTTATGACACTCCATAGCATCACCTATCATTTCCTGTTCTCCCTGCGTATATTTGTTCTCTAGATTCCCTTACAGGCCCTTAATTAATGAAGAGAGAGAGAGAGAGAGAGAGAGAGAGAGAGAGAGAGAGTCATGTCGTGTACAATATGTAATTGCCTCTCTCACACGCTCACAGGTACGTCGTATTCCGAGTGGTGCCCCACAACGAGGCTCAGCTCCAGCTTCTGCATAACCTGCAAGCAACAAACGCGTACGAGGTGCGAGCATCACACCTATATAACCACCGTATGCCTCAGACATTCATCGAGTCATACCCTATACGCTATATTCGACAGCCGCTATATATATATATATATATATATGTGTGTGTGTGTGTATTTATGTATATATTTATTTATTTATTTATTCTTTTATTTATTTATATGTATGTATGTATATATTTATATATCCGAACGAATAACTAAAAAATGCTCACTAAAACTAAGTATTTATGTAAGAGCTTCCTTCCTACGCTTCCTTCTAACGTCTCTGCGGTGTAGTTACGGTGATGTTGATGCTTGCTGTACATGCGTAGCTGGACTTCTGGAAGGAGCCGACTCGCCTGGAGGAGCCCGTAGACATGATGGTGAGTCCGAAGCAAGGCAGCGACTTCAAGGGTTACCTTATCCATAACAGGCTCGACTACAGCATCCACGTCAGAGACGTCGGCCAGTAAGTACCTCCACAGAACGGTCACCATCCGCATGTAGTGTATACCGCTTCTCCACGAAGACCACTTTTTAGAAGGTCACCTTGCGACGCCGTCATATACGCTGAAACCATCTCTATAGAGCGGTCACCACCTCTCCCGGCGAAGACGACCTCTCAGAAGGTCACATTGGGACGCGGTCATATACGCTGAAACTACCTCTATAGAAGAGTCACTTGTTCACATATGTTACTTTGGTCTCTAAGAGGACGTTCAACGTGGGGAAATCACCTCTGTAGAGCGGCTACCTGTTTATACAGGTCACCGTTGGCGTTTCTGTCCATGGCTGTAGCATTTAGCTTGAAAAAGACTTACTTCAGATTAACTGTAGTAAATTGTCATTACTCCTAACGCACACCACGCACGTCGTTCCCACTCCCTGCTTCTCACTTTGCTCTCATCTTCAACTCTACTCTTTCGTTCTTCACACAACTTCTTGCTTCTTCATGACAGGTTGGTTAGCAATGAGCGGGCCTCCATGAGCAGACAGTCTCGAACATTCAGCCTGACGCACTACAATAGCTTCGCTGACGTAGGTTACCGCTTATATTTGTCACACGTTTTTATGTAAATAATTATCTTCTTCCGTTTTTATTTAAAAAAATACAATTTTAGTGTTGTCAAAGATGCGTTGCTATGATTCTTTAGTGTCGTTAAAGGTTTTTAGTGTCGCTAAGCGCTTTATATAAAGCGTTTTTTAGCGTTTTTAACGTTTCAAGCGTTTATTTAGAAACATATTATCAGGGGTGAATAATGGCAATTTGTCATTATTATATTATTACATTTAAAGAATCATAGCAACGCATCTTTGACAACACTTTAAATCGTTTTTTTTAATTAACACGGAACAAGATATGAATTTACAGGAGAACGAACGCGGACGTGCACATCATTTTCGTGCACCGAACGTTTCGTCGCCCACTTAGATATCCACCGTGTAACCACGATTTTTTTGATTTTTTTTGCCCCTCACAGGTCCAAGATCAGCTGGTGCAATGGGAAAAGCAGTACAGCTCCGTCTCTCTCACGAACCTCGGTGACTCGACCGAGGGCCGACCCATGACCATGCTGAAGGTACGCTGGCTTCAATGACGTCAGCGACCGTCTTGTGACGTCATAGGAATGATCTCTTTCGCGTTGGTCTCACACCTCGCTGTCCCCGAATATAAATATATATATATATATTCATGATATTACAGTGATCCCTGCTTTAATTGGAAAGGCCGAAACGTCCCAATTAAGCGGTGATCCTGATTAAGCGGTGAACATATAAAAGCGAGGGTAATTAGCGAGGTAGAAAGCGATGCACCCGTTTATCCGAGGCCCGATAAAGCGGTGTCCACTGTAATAGCTATCGGGGAATTCATCCCACGATTGTGTCGATATGTGAAGGGTAATATAATATGAATGTAGGGCAATATATGAAGAGTAATATGAAAGTAGGGCGATGTGTGAAGGGTAACATGAAGGTATAAGGCGATATACGAAGGGTAATATGAAGGTAGGGCGATATGTGAAGGGTAATAGGAAGGTAGGACAATAATGAAGGGTAAGATGAAAGTAGGACGATAATGAAGGGTAAATATGAAGGTAGGACGATAATGAAGGGTAAATATGAAGGTAGGACGATATATGAAGGGTAAATATGAAGGTAGGACGATATATGAAGGGTAAATATGAAGGTAGGGCGATATATGATGGGTAATATGTGAAGCTTGCGACAGGTTTCAGAGGGAAGCGACGCTGGCAAGAAAGCGATCTGGATCGACGGCGGAATACACGCCCGCGAGTGGATCTCCATGGCAACAGTTCTGCAGATGACTCATAGGGTACGTGCAGCATGTACCTGACGCCCGCATCCTAACTACTAGTCTACCAGCTAGCCTAGAGCATCCAAGCTAAGCCTCTACCCTAACTACAAACTATAACTACTAACTACAATTCCGCCACTAACTACTAGTCTACCAGCTAGCCTAGAGAATCCTAGCTAAGCCGCTACCCTGCATCCTAACTACAAACTAACTACTAACTGCAATCCCACCAACAACCCGTTTGCCACCCGCTAAAACAATGACGACCACCCACTGCACAACCTCCACCCCACTTTCGTCAATATAAATAATTATCTATAATAAGCTAATCTAATAATAAACCCTATATAATATCGCGGTATATTCGTCATTCGTTCTCGTTGGATAACTAACAGCGACTGTGCTGCGTGCTCAGTGTTAGTAAGAAACGAGTATCGACTAAGTAGTCGTGGTGTACGTACGTCTTTCAGCTGCTGACGGGAACCGACGAAATAACGAAGAACATGCGAGCGAACGTCATCTGGTACATTCTACCCCAGCACAATCCCGACGGATACGAGTACTCCCGTCTCTATGTGAGTATCATCATCATAATCATCATCGTCATCATCATCATCATCACCATCATCAGCAGCAGCAACAGCAGCAGCAGCAGTAGCAGCAACAACAACAACAACAGCAGCAGCAGCAGGAGTAATAGCAGTAGTCGTAGCAGCAGCAGTAGAAGCAGCCGCAGCAGCAGCAGCAGCCGCAGCAGCAGCAGTAGAAGCAGCCGCAGCAGCAGCAGCCGCAGCAGCAGCAGCAGCAGCAACAGCAGCAGCAGCAGCAGCAGTAGTAGTAGAGGACAATTACCCACCAGGACAATTACCCACCGGACAATTACCCACCAGGACAATTACCCTAGCCCCCCCCCCACACACACACGTACAATTGAAACTTGGTTGATGTGATCGTATAGATAATAACAATGTTCTAAACCTTGCGTTGTGTTATTAATTGTTCTTAACCCGTTGTTCCGTTTCGTGTTTGCGTTTCCGCTTGAAGGAATGTCAGCTTCTCTCTGTCTCTCGTGCGACGTAAGGACGAGTGACGATGAAGATCACAGTAAAGATAACACGTCTTGTTTGTTACTCGCGGTGTCAACCCGCGCCCGCGCGCGTCGTGCGCGGACTCACTCTCCTAACTGTTCTGCATACTCTACTACGGATAACTCCCTGTGTCGGGGCGCGCGCTGGGTCTTATATCCATCGCGCGTACGTATAGTAACGGTAGTGTTGTTGCTATGGGGAACAGGTCCGGGTCACGTGTCCTGCGAACTGGCTGGTCATTGGGCCACGCCCTTCTACGCAGTTAGAAACCGGTCGGCACATGTTTCCATGTTGCAAAGTATGGTCGTGACGTACACTGACGTCACGCACGAACTCGGCTGAATGCATACACCCTGCTGATGGTGCTGGTGGTTGCGTGCTACGCCCTACTCCCTAACCCTAACCCTAACCCTAATTAAATTTAATTAACACTAATAAATTTAATTTAATTAAAAAAAAAATGTAATAAAAAATTGTAAATAAATCATGTAAATATTTGCGTTAATTGGGGAAAAAATTGTTAAATGGATAAAGATAGAAAAAAAGAAAAAAAACAAAAACAGATTGGATTCGAACCAACGACCTTCAGAAGTACATTAAGTAATACTTTGCCTACGCGACAGTGCTGGCGATACTCGCGCGAGCGTCGCTCCCTGCGCCTAATCGCTCGCATGCGGAGTCCATCTGTGCATCTAAACTGCATGCAGTGCACCTTCGTACACTCAGGATACGAAGATTGCAGCCGTACGGTACGTACGGCCGTCAGGTACGTAGATTGAGCCCATGAGCGAGAGCGCCATCTGTCGTGGAGTTTGCTGTGCATCCTCACGCTCGCGTATCTTACCATAGGCGTTCGATTTATCGATTGCCTGAGATTGCAGTCTGCTCCCCTCGAGCGGTTGTTAAAATTCAGAATTTATTGAATACATCATTAGATGTATATATTGTGATATAATGGAAAAATTATGTATGACTCGGACAAGTATAAAGACAATGACTAACTTAAATAAGAATGAGTAATGGATCATAAGTTTATTTGAACAAACGTTCCGAAAAAAAGATAGAAACATCAATGCTCATACTAGGCTATGTAGCAAAACACACTCTTTACTTAATCAGGTTATTGAACCTTTTCTTCTAAAGGCTATGATTGGAAATCTCGTAATAATTATGAGCTCCATAACGCAATAAACTTATGTGTATTAACTCGAATAAACTTGAGTACGAAATACATCTTATTATAAAAAAAAACCGCTAGTTGTTTTTATTTACTTTTTTAACTAATGTTTTAAGTAATGTTTTTTTCTCAAAACGTGCTGAAATAAGACATTTTATCAAGGTCAGTGTTCTGAAACAATACAAAAAGTCTCACGCAATGGCGTGCTACGACGGTAGTAAACCGCGACAGCATCAAGCGCCGTATCCCGCGTTACCCGTGCTACGACGGTAGTAAACTTGATGCTGTCACGGTTTACTACCGTCGTAGCAGAGTAGCACGGGTAACGCGGGATACGGCGACCGTCGTAGCAGAGTAGCACGGGTAACGCGGGATACGGCGCTTCGATGCTGTCGCGGAGCAAACCGCGACAGCATGAAGCGCCGTATCCCGCGTTACCCGTGCTACTCTGCTACGACGGTAGCAAACCGTGACAGCATCAAGCGCCGTATCCCGCGTTACCCGTGCTACTCTGCTACGACGGTAGTAAACCGTGACAGCATCAAGCGCCGTATCCCGCGTTACCCGTGCTACGACGGTAGTAAACCGCGACAGCATCAAGCGCCGTATCCCGCGTTACCCGTGCTACTCTGCTACGACGGTAGTAAACCGCGACAGCATCAAGCGCCGTATCCCGCGTTACCCGCGCTACTCTGCTACGACGGTAGTAAACCGCGACAGCATCAAGCGCCGTATCCCGCGTTACCCGTGCTACGACGGTAGTATTATGGGTTGATATGATTAAGTACTTGAATAATTTAATCATATAAGTATTGCAAGTGAAGTAATTCGTCAGTGTCATGACAGTGCTACTGCCAATCAGTTTGAGCACTGGCCGCTTTGAGGCTGGCTTTGAGTCCAGTTTTATTTTGTGGCATTGTGATTTACTGACATGTTCATTTATGTGCATATACAACTGTGTGGATAACTGGCAATACATGTAAAAATGCTTGAGGAAGACATGTACTGTTTGCCAGTTGAACCTACTTTTTGGATATAAGTGTTTTCATAATGTACATTATCATTACCTGTATCACATAAAAACTAAAAATCTTGTATACATTCAGAGATGCATGTTGAAAACAATGATTTAAAACCTCATATTAGACGAATTCAGTTATGATTTTTGAAACTTTAATTCACAATTCTATTCATTACACAAGCATTCAGAATGACCAATTGTTTCATTTGGCAGCACTGTCTAAATTATTGTTATAATTATTCATGTGAAGAGAGAAGGGATTTTCATATGTAATATACAGTACTTCCACAGTGGCAGATTACATGACCTTTAAAAAATTTTTATATATCACGCGCTGTGAAAATGACAATTAAGTACGTATATTTTTTGCAGTAAAGTAGTGATGTATTTTGCCATGTGCTCAAATTGCTGATAAATATCATCAATCTTACTAAAATATAAGCTAGGAAAAAATGCAGATAGATGACCTTAGAATTAATGCGTCAAATGCAGCCATTTGCATCAAAATAAAAAAGATTGCCCCTCCCCCCCCCACTTCACACAAGTATTAACACTTGTAATATATTCTTGTAAATCAGTATATTCACTCACGGTAGGCCTACACACAGCCCACGCAGCACAAGACACGCAGCGCACCGCACACAGCCAGCCACTATCCGCACACACGCACAAACAGTTACATAACATAACGTACATGGCCAAGAGCAAGATTATTTGGGATTCACAATTTCCGTCATTATGGAGGGGTAAGGGGGCGACTCCCCCCCCTCCCAATTATCGACGCCGCTGTTCTCTGAACAACATAGGGTAGGCATTTTCTCTTCTTCCAAGACATACATTATGTATTGCAGCGACAAAAATTTACGGAAGGGGGAATTTTTTCCTTATTGGAGTTAGGTGGGTAATTGTCCTGGTGGGTAATTGTCCTGGGGGGTAATTGGTCTTGGTGGTAAATTGTTCGCGGGGTAATTGTCCTGGTGGGTAATTGTCCTGGTGGTAATTGTCCCGGGTGGTTAATTGTCCGGGTGGGTAATTGTCACTGGTGGGTAATTGTCCGGGTGATAATTGTCCGGGTGGATAATTCACCTGGTGGGTAATTCCTAACGGTGGGTGTTTGTCGCGGTGGGTAAGTTTGTCCGGTGGGCAGTTGTTCCAGGGGGTAGTTAGTCCGGTGGGTAGTTGTCCGTAGAATCGGGGAGGACAGGTAACGGACTGACGGGTCAGGAGAGTAGGAGGTAGCTATGTGTGTAATGATGTAACAACGGAGGCAATGTGTGAGCGAGTGGGAGGGGAAGATAGGTAACGGACAGACGGGTCAGGAGAGTAGCGAGGGTAGCTATGTGTGTAATGATGTAACAACGGAGGCAATGTGTGAGCGAGTGGGAGGGGAAGATAGGTAACGGACAGACGGGTCAGGAGAGTAGCGAGAGGTAGCTATGTTGTGTAATGAATGTAACAACGGAGGCAATGTGTGAGCGCAGTGGGAGGGAAGAAGGTAACGGACAGACGGGTCAGGAGAGTACGGAGGTAGCTATGTGTGTAATGATGTAACAACGGAGGCAATGTGTGAGCGAGTGGGAGGGAAACAGGTAACGGACGAGACGGTCAGGTAAACGATAATCGCGAAGCTGAAATTCGATGCGATGAGCGTCGGCGTACTAGAGAGAGTAAACTGGGGTTTCGCAGTCGCAAAACTGGATGGCGAATAGTTAGTAGCGTTGGAGTACGGGGAGTAAATGTAATGTATGAACGAACAAGTGGAGAAGGGGAAGGAAGGGGCGGTGGCAGCTTCTTGCAAAAGTGAACAGGGTAGATGTAAACATACAATTCATAATCGCGGCAAACAGGTGCGAAAGGACAGGTGGGGGTTTCGCATAGTCGGGCGGTTGAGGGTGCCATGTGATGGGCGTTGGAGTAGGGGGGAGCTAATGTAACGGTTGAACAAGTGGGAGGGGAGGACAGGTAACGGATGGGATGGGGTTTTGCAGTCAGGAGCTGAGATGTGATGTGATGGGCGTTGGAAAAGAGAGAGCTAATGTAACATGTGAACAAGTGCGAGGGTAGGTAGGAGGTGGCAGCTCTTGCGAAAGCTATGGAGGCACGACATGAACATTAGATTTTGTGCTGTTTCTTTTGTGAAGGTGCAGCTCTTGCATTGAAGGATATCGATGTGAATGTTCGATTTTGTCCCGTTTCTATTGTAGTGTCGAGGGAGGTCAACCCGCGGTGCTAGACGATGGAAGTGTGGAACGTTACGAATCCAACGTGGAGGATAGGAAGAACAAATACATCCAGTGCAGCTACGGTATATACTACTGCTATCAGCCTTACCAATGTGTCTGACTCCTGGCTAACGCTCCATTAGGAGTGTTCCCAACGTTGATATAATTAATGATTATTGATTTTAAATGATTAATGATTGATAATCCTAACCCTAAAACCCTAACCCTAACTAAATGACATTAAACCACAAACTAATATATGACCATATATGATACGATATATATACTATATATATATAGTGTTATTAATGTTACCATTAATGCCATTAAAGTTGGAAACACTCCTAATGGAGTATCACTGTAACTCATTGAGTCTCTCGGACCTCACATGACTGGCAGTTATACACTTGAGTGAAACTATCTCTATAGAATATAGCCACCTGATGAATGCTAGTTTTGTCGTTTCGCTTACGTGGTCGTTATGCATAGCTCATAGCTCACAGCTCACAGGTCACACCTGATAGCTTGTAGCTCGTGAGTTTGTAGTAGCTCCTAGATCGTAGTGACGTTGCCTTTTTACGCAAACTCCTCTTCACCCCAGACGCCGCGACCACACCCTACCTGCTGGGTCTATACACGGAGCCGCAGATAGAGATGGCGCCACCGTTCGACCGGCTCGTGACGGAGTACTACGCGACGGTCGACTATGACGTCATCCTGCTGAAGGTGTGGGCGACCGCTCAGAGCTGCTCGTGCGAAGCCAGGGTGAACGATCGGTTCGGTCTCTCCAGGTGAGCTTTCGCTCTTCCGGTTTTTTTGTCATGTTTTCGTTACATTGCAATTGCATTGCATGTGCCCTTGGGATAAAGAGTTCCTCAAGTACTGCCTTCTATTTTTGGCATCTCTTTATTTGATTACATTAACTCCCCTGCTGTTATTTTATAATGTTCATTATCGGTATTGAATCGACTGATGTACCGCTTTCCAGTTTTTTTGGGGCCATATTTGTGTCATATTGCAGTCTTTTAACAGCAGATTATGTCTTTGTGGTCTCTGACTGAGGGGGGTCTAGAGAGAATTTCCCCCCCCATCTTTTTTTCATCACTTGAGCACAGTGTTTCACTCGCGTGTGCGATTCATAAGCAACTGAAAAGAAGCGTCTCACGGCAACTTTGGTTTCTTTCTCGCGCGAAAGGCCGAGCAACTATTCGTTGGGCGTTGAAGACAACCGCATCAGCTTCCACGTCGTGGACGTCGCTCACTCTGAGCCGTGGATCGTGAACACGTACACGCTGTACGTCTACCGACGCAGCATATACGAGGGGGCGCCACCGTTCGTGCCCAGCAAGCCGCATAGCATATGCAGCCTCACGCAGGCACGTGGGTTTTATGTTATTTATATTTGTTTTATGTTTTATGTTTTATGTTATATTTATTTTTGTTATTTATATATATGTTATTGCATATTATACTTTATTAATGATTATATTGTTTGCACATGTGTGCGTGTGTGTGTGTGCGTGCGTGCGTGCATGTGTGTAGTTGTTTGATATCAAGAGCACGTAAACTATTGTTAAGAAAGTATATATGTGCTCTTGTTGTTATGTACTATGTATAAGTTTATATATATATATATATATATAATGTATAGATGTGTGTAATAAAATATTTACATTATTGCAGGAGTGTGATATGAATGTCTGGTCTTCAAAGCCATGTGATTTGCAGAAGATGAATATAAACGACTGGGGGCAGGCACTCCAACACGCAGCCTCCTTGCCTGTATGCACCGATGGGCATGCACCTGGTAGGCATACTATATATACTCCTCACACCTCTGCTTGGTTACGTACTGTAACTTTAATGATATTATTCATTTATTTTCATAAAATTAGCCAGCATTATGGTTTCATTTTAATTTCTTTGTTTTATTTTAATTCTGGTTCGATTTCGGTTTTTAAATCGTTATACAGAACCTGTGGTGACATTTTTTCGTAATTTGTAGTCGGGGATCGTAAGAGCTGTGACCCGCGTTTGTAGGTCTAGTGTATATAAATCAACTCGTAACATTGCAGTTGCATTGCATGTGCAATCACTTGGGGTAAGAAATTGATACCATGTTGGTATTCTTCATGTACTGCCTTCTATTTTTTGCATCTCTTTATTTCCAGTTGAGTTTTACATTGCACCGTCTATTTAGTGAGAGACTTGTCTAAACTGACATATATAATTAATAATCTTTGGTTGTCAGGTAAATGGCTGGTTCCATGCGGGTCATGCAAGGAGCGAAAGTCGTGCTACTGGCAAGTGGCGCGATGGCAGCCGGACTCCTGCAGGCATGATATGATGCAAAGAACAAGTCTGAGACAGTGCATGGCTGGCAAGAAGGTATTATTGCTTATTTAATGTAGACACATTAGGTAATAGCTACTACCATGAACATATGTATACTATGTTATACTGTGTAATTTGTGTAGTATATACTGTATACGTACCATATACTACATTGTGCCCTGTTATACCACGTATACGTATAATGTGTACCCCTACCACCTACATGTGGTCGGGTAGCTGTGTTCACTACTCATTTCGCTTGGCTTTCTATGACCAGCTATTATTAAAATGAAAATAATGGCTTCTCACGCATAAATGAAGTTTTCCAAGAAAACGTCAGCACAGATATATGTTCTTCTATTACAACAACCCTGTATGTAGGAACGTCAAAGAGTACATCAAGAGTATTCTTCTAGGTGAATATCTTAAAAATCCAAACACTTGTTCTCATTCCAGGTGTTGTTCGTTGGCGATTCGACCAATCGCGGCATTATGCATTATCTCATGGAACAAGTGAACGGCACGCTCACCGACTGGGACAAGACGCACAGCGTCAAGGTTTACGAGGGCCTCAACAGTGGCACCACCACCTTCAGCTTTGCATACTACCCCCAGTTCTGGCTGGCATCAACCGATCGGCCAGCGTTCGACAGAGCATTTGAGGAGCTATATAAGCAGTAAGCTGCCAATTGTCCCTTCTCAGTCTACTGATCGCATAATCTCAACACCATCCAACCATACAGACTTTACCTACGGGTAGAAATTTCGAGATGGAATGACTATAGTAACATCTTCATGCCGAAACATGGGTCACGCATTGTCCTTAACTAGGACAGTGGCACTGGGATAGTAGACAGGCAAGGGTCACCTCATATATACTATATAGCTATAATATACTATGATGCTATATACTATATGAATATGTAGATGTAGAACTGTAGATATGTAGATAGACATGTGGATTGTAGGCAGTAGATTGTATAGATATGTTCATAGTATTATTAATTATATAAGATTGATTAGCCTGCCAACTGCTGCTGGGGTTAAAACTGCTGATACCTAGAGCTGTGGAGTTCAAAACTATAGGCTGACTGTTTTTACGCTTCACTCATAAAAAAGTGATTACATTCGTCAATGATTTCTGTATCTTGGTTTTGTTGTGTGTGTCAGGTCTATGCCATTAGTGAATGACACCAGTACAGTGCTGGTTGTAGGAGGAGTGCAATGGCTGGCCACCAGTCACCTTAACCTGCTTCTGTCAGCCCTTAAAAGGTCTGTATTGGTCCATATCTGCACGATAAATATAGTCAGTAGGTGTATAAAAGTGTGTCTGCAGTAGAACAGGCAGAGTGGAATCATGGGAGTGACACGTGATTACGTGTAGCAGCATACGATTGGTGCATGGTTGGGAGGGAAACATGGAGTTTTGTGGACTAGGAAAAAATGATGTTGCCAAAACCTAAGGTCAAGGTCATTGATTTTCAGTGGGCAATACTGCATTTTTATTTCATCACGTGAAATGCGCTTCTTCAATAACTATGCAGTATTCTTCACATACAAATATAGATTAATTGTTTTTAGATTTCTTCAATTAGTTACTAGCTGTGCTGTTTGAATTAACATTTCTGGTTTCGTTCTTGAATTCGCAGACTTGGATTAGAAGGAATTCGGGTGATCATTAAGACGTTTGGTGCCGGATTCCACCAGCCTGTCGATGGTATTAGACATCTGTCATTGGTGAGCAAAAGATATTCACAGCTATAGCAATACCACCTTTATAGTTTCACGTCCAAAAACCTAGCACTATACATTGGTGAAATATATTTGGTGAAAATTTTAGAGTTAGAGTTATCTTACTGAAATATACGCGTCCATGTGTGTAGTCCATAAAATATTCTACCCTACGTCTGTCCGTCACTAACTTTGTAGCTTCGTGGCATCGCATATCCAGCTCGACAAATTAACTCGTGGGATGGTCCAGCGTATCTGCATACCCCGCCCCAGGTCTCTATTTCACAAGCAGCTTGCTCTGTAGTGTTGGGTCTGTGACACGCGCGTTGCATTGGTTACAGGAGGAGCAGCGAAAGCTGAGCCTTCGCAATCAGGAGCTGGTGTCGTTTGCGCAGCAGCACGGCATGCAGGCGCTGGACACGTTCAGCATCACCGTGCCACGCTTCAAGGACTTCCAGGAAGGGAAGTGCGCTTGTCACTTCCACAAGGTGAGTGCTGATGGTTCGCTGCGAGGGTAAGCGCTCGCCTGATCGCTGCATGTAGTAGTAGGGGGAGTAATGGTGATCTGTCTAAGTTTGCTTCTGTGGCTTCCTTTATGTTCTCTCTCTATCTCTCTGTTTCTCTCTCTCTCTCTCTCTCTCTCTCTCTCTCTCTCTCTCTCTGTCTCTCTCTTTTCTCTATCTGTCTATCTATCTATCTATTTATCTAGCGTTCTCTCAGCCTCTTGCTATGCGTAATTCGTATGCATAAAATTAATATTGTGCAAATAGAAATACTAAAAACGGGTTTATTGACATTAAAGACTACAACAGCTTCGTCGATCATTTCCAGCGTGAAGGAGATACGATCGGAGACACTAGCTATCCCGGGGAGAACCGACCTTCCACGTTTCACATCGAGGGGCCCGTGAACACCCTCTACTCCGAGATACTAGCAAATCTCATCTGCATGGACAGGTGACCGGAGCGTTTCTCCGCGCTCCCCCATCCTTGCTCCAAGAACAGCTTGGCTCGCTTCTTTTCTCCCTTCGAGGGGCGTGTAGCAGGATTTTCTCTGCCGCCCACAATGCTCTTTGAGTGTAGATATCGAACTACACATAGCCTGATCGGGGGGAGATCTGTAGTAATCGTTTTACGCGTCTGCTGTTTGTGGATTGTCTTCGAGGACGCGTGTTATCGAAGACGAATTGTAATACTCAGTTGAGAAGGTGGTCTCAAGCGTAACTTGCTAGAGAGGGTTACAGCTGGGTTACACTACCGGACTTTATGTTGGCAAATTGGGTACGAGTTGACCAATTTCGCAATTCGGTAAACTCGAGTTGGCGAAAATAGAACACGTCTATTGTCCCACAATTAGTCTCTATCGATCGGTGCTGTCGCTAGCTCAATTCCCTTTTGCGTTTACACTGCCGAATTGTCGTTGATAGTTGGGAAGTTGTCCAATTCGCCAATTCGCCAACCACAATAGTTTGTAGTGGCTAAACCATGCATTAGTTTGATCGTTCGTTATTATAGTCAGTATAAACAGCGCGCGGTTAAGCGTAGTTTTTTATGCTGAGAGATTACTCAGGCGTTGATGTTAAATTATATTATTTGCTCGGCGTTTTTTTCCTATCTGGTTGTTATTTATTGACGTATACAAAGTAATAAATTTAATCTGGAGGGAGTATTGTGATTATTAGATATACATAGGCAATATATATTGATCCCACTGCGCTTTGTCTATATGTTAACTGTGTGAGTGTGCGTTTGGCTGCGTTGCGTGCGTGCACTTTGTGAATGAGCAAAAGCAATTCGGGTCGAAAGGCTGTTCGTCGAGTCTCAATGAGATTATTGTATAAGTTACTGCGGACAGCTTCCAGTGCGCTATTGCTAGTGGGCAAATATGCCCAATTATAGCCTATTGTGATAGTAGTTATTAAACATTGGGTTGAACAGAAAGCACAAATTTCACTGTATGTTAATGTATAATATGGCAAGCTAGTGATTGGTTCGTTCGGTGCGTCGTGCTTACGTGTTGAGTGGATAGGTCACGTTATACGTTTTACCGTATCTGTGTTGCCCGTGGCGTCTCAAACCATAATCATAGCCAGCAGTTTGTGAAATTCCGTCTACTTATGTTAGTTTCTGTCTACCTGTCCCGCTTTCGCTTCTCTTCTACTGCTTTTTCTCGCTTACTCTCCTTTTCCAACTAATTCCTCTCTCTTCTATCTATCTATCTAATTCTATCTTATTCTATCTATCTTAATCGTTATCTATCTTATCTATCTATTGATCTAATCTATCTAGTCTATCATATCTATCATTAACAACTATCCATTCAATCTAAACTATGTATCTATCTATCTACTATCTCACTCATCTATCTATCTATCAAATCTTCTAAACTATTTAATTCTAACAATCTTATCTATCTATCTATCTATCTATCTTATCTTATATATCTTATCTATCTATCTATCTATTTATTTATCTCATATATATATATATATATATACTATATATATTATATCCATCCGATCCATCATCATCACCTATCTATCTATTCCATCCATCCCATCCATTTATATCGTATCTATCGATTGTAACCTATCTATCTATCTATTCATCTATCTATTCTATCTATCTATCTATCTATCTTATCTATCTATCTTATACTATCTTATCTATCTATCTATCTATTCCGTCTGTCTGTCTGTCTGTCTGTCTTCTAACCTCGCGCCTCTCTCTAATCTTTTCCCAATTCTCTCATTGTTCAATCACATGAGAAGAGCAGACTGCGCTTTTTTTTTACTGCACTTTATATATATTATATATATATATATATATATATATATATATTATATATATATAATATATTATATTATATTATTATACGTAAGATGTTGCGGTCGTATTCGATGTAGCAGCACAGCTAGTGCGCATGTCCCTAGATGCACCATCGCTGCACAACAGACACACCATAGATATATACAGACACACGTGTGTTTGTATATAACTATGCACACACCGATGACCGCGTGCGATGGTCATTCATATATGTAGTCGCAGCAATATCTGATCTTTGGTATGCGTTAGAAAATAATGTAATGTAAGTCACACAGCACTTATCATCAGTGTGATGTACAACACGCCGGTCTATATATAGTTGTCGCCAAGTGATCTATCGATGTTGAACTAGGTTTTGTACTGCGTAAAAAATAAAAAGATGTACTGCTATTGTTACTAAAAACTCCGTCTAGTTGTCATACCTGGGAAATAGGGATATATATTATATTATCAAGATTACCACAGATACAAGCTATCTTGAAGCTATATATATATATATACATATATATAATATATTCATATAATTATATACACACACACATATATTATATAGATATATATATATATATATATTATATATATTTGCAACAGTGCCACAGCTACAGGTTACGTGTAGCCTTAACACTAGCTGTCGCGACAGATATCAATATCGTATCGATAACGGCGAACATAACGTTCAAACGAATGAAAGGGCCGTAAACAAGCGCGGTTAGAACCCTCTCCACTTGCTTTACGGCCCACAGCATCGACTGTCACGCAGCCAACATTTCTCACCTGCGGGTTTCCCACCGGACGTCAGCGGCGACACAGGACGTCAGCGCGCTGTTACAGTCCGACGACAATTATATTACGTTGCTACAGCTCGTATAGGACAGCACATACACATGTATGCACATGTAGGATGTGTAAGCATATGTAGACATATATAGGATCAGGGTAGCACATGTACGCACATTGTAGGATTGTGCTTAGCTGTATGTAGCACATGTAGGCATAGGGTAGCACAGTAGCCACATGTAGGATTAGGGTAGCCACATTGTAGACTGTAGGGATAGTGGGTAGCACATGTAGCCCCACATGTAGGATTGTGTAGCATATGGTAGCACATATGATAGGCATAGGGGTAGCACATGCTGCCACATGATAGGATTAGGTGCACATGTACGCACATGTTAGGAATTAGGGGTAGCACAATGTAGCCACATGGTAGGATAGGGTAACACATGTAGCACATGTAGGATAGAGTAGCACATGTAGCACATGTAGGATAGAGTAGCACATGTAGCACATGTAGGATAGCAAGTAGACACTGTTAGCCACTATGTAGGATAGGGTAGCACATGTAGTAACATGTAGCGATAGATATGCCACATGATAGCACATGTAGCGCATAGAGATAGCCACTATGTAGCCCACATGTAGGATTAGCGTAGCACATTAGCACATTGTAGGATAGGGGATAGCACATGTACACAATGTAGGATAGGGTAGCACATGTAGCACATGCTAGGAATAGGTAGCACATGTAGCACATGTAGGATAGGGAGACATGTAGCACATGTAGGATAGGGTAGCACATGTAGCACATGTAGGATAGGGTAGCACATGTAGCACATGTAGGATAGGGTAGCACATGTAGCACATGTAGGATAGGGTAAGCACATGTAGCACATGTAGGGTATATGGTAAGCACATTGCTAAGCCACTATGTAGGTCCAATTGTGTAGCATATGTAGCACATGTAGTATAGGGTAACACATGTAGCACATGTAGGATAGGGTAGCACATGTAGGATAGGGTTAGCACATGTAGCACATGTAGCACATGTAGGATATGGTAGCACATGTAGCACATGTAGGCATATGCGTAAGCCCACATGTGAGCACATGTAGGATTGTCTAGCACATGATAGCACATTGTAGGATTAGGTAGCACATGGTAGCACATGTAGGCAATTAGCGCGTAGCACATGTAGCACATGTAGGATTAGGGCGGTAGCCACATGTAGCACATGTAGGCTAGGGTAGCAGGATGTAGCTAGGGTAGCACATGTAGCACATGTAGGATAGGTAGACATGTTTAGCACATGTAGCACATGTTGCACATGGTAGGATAGGGTAGAAATGTAAGCACATGCTTAGGATAGGGGTAGCACATGTAAGCACATGTATGACTTGGTAGCACACTGTAGCCACATTGTATAGGATAGGGTAGCCACATGGTAGGATTAGGGTAGCCACATGATCAGACAATGTATAGGATAGGTAGCCCACATGTAGGATAGGGTAGCACATGTAGCACATGTATAGGATAGGGTAGCACATGTAGGATAGGGTAGCACATGTAGCACATGTATAGGATAGGGTAGCACATGTAGGATAGGGTAGCACATGTAGGATAGGGTAGCACATGTAGCACATGTAAGACTGTAGCACACGATTATTCTGCGATGAGCGACGCGTTATTTCTCTTCATAGATCTCCTTCTCATCACTCCCGTTAATTTTCGACTGTCAATTATTTAATTCGAGGCCGTGGCTAGAGAGTGTGAAGAGAATAAGATAAAAAAGATAGTTTTATCAAATGAAATTTTCTCCATGGGGATTTTTTGGAGAAACATGAGCGAGGGATCAAAGGGACGACAAGGATGAAGGCAAAGATTTATGGATGCAGTTTCAAAGTCTGATTATCCAATATATCTACTAATTAAGCTATGACGTAGCTGCTTTAGCATCGGAGTTAGCATTGGCCCAGAAAGGTACTAAGCCTAATACAAGCACAGATAATAGCCACACCCTAACTCGAACCCTAACCTAACCCATCCAAAGACAAACGCAAACCCAAACAATAACCACAACCTAAACACGAATGGAAAGCTCAAACGTCAACACCAAAGTCTAACGATAATAATAGTTACAACCCAATTTCTCACCTCAACCCTAACCCTAAACACAACCTAAACCGTAACCATAACTTCAACCATAACTTTAATGCTAAAATTACATATTCAACCCCTATTAGCCCTAACTCTGACCTTAATAGAAACTAACCTTAAACTAACCCACCTCGTTACCCCTGACTCTAAACATGGCTCGTACCCTAGCTCAAACTCTCAAACTCACAATAAAAAAAATAAAAAAACACAAACGCTAACACTAAATACGGGACTAACCCCCTAATCCTACGTTACATCAATGACGATAGCCTTCACGTCATACACGTCATATCACGACACACAAGGTCATGATTAAGACCTATCACGAACACCCGTCCCGCATACTTTGCCTCATTTCCCCCCCAATATAGTAAGTACGACGTCGTGCTCCTTTCGTGTTCTCCTCCTCGTGCGGGCGTTTCCTTCGCGACAACAGAGTGGAATTTTCACCCACTTATATATAAAATATGAAATATATAAGATGAAGAGCCAATAATACGATAGGTATTATGAGCTCTTGATAAGATAGCAAGCAAGTCTTTCGCTGCGACGTTCGAAGCTGTAACAGATACTAACCCATCAGCTGCGGAAGTTCTCAGGCGGCGCGAAGATAAGATGTGATAAGTTTTTCACCCCTCTGGTCGTATATAAGGCCCATGTTTGCAGTAGGTTGGTCGTTTTCGTGCGGCAACACACAAGCAGCAGACAACATGAAGACGTTATTGTTGGCGCTCGCCGTCGCGGGCTTGGCGGCAGCCTACGTTGACTACACTGGGTGAGACTACTATTACTACTACTGCTACTGCTGCTGCTGCTGCTGCTGCCTTACTATTACTACTACTGCTACTGCTGCTGCTACTACTGCTGCTGATGCTGACCTACTATTACTACTACTGCTGCTGCTGCTGCTGCTGCTGCCTTACTATTACTACTAATACTACTACTACTACTACTAGCCTACTACTCTATCACTGCTGCTACTCTACTGCTGCTGCTGCTGCTCCCGCTCCCACTACCACTACCTTTATTGCCACTATCCATGTATCTTTGGATATTTTCGCTCTCTCCGGCAACGGGGGGGGAGGTATATTTAAAGCAGATTTCTCTACGATGCTTCACCTCTACGAGAATGCGCAGGCAGTCGTCGGTCGCGTCGCGGCAGTGTATCACTAGCGGCAGCTTCATCTCCAACGCAATGCTGATCTGCGTCCTGAACGCCTTCATCTGCACCGACTTGGTAACGTTATTCCTGCAAAACCCACCGTCACGGATCAGACGCCGCCATTGCCCGCCGTCGCGGAAATGTGTGCAGCAAAAAAACAGAAGACAAGGACCTTTGACAATGACACGACATCAGGGGTTAATAAAGCTTAAAAGACAAATGTCGATAACGAATTATGTCGTTATTACATAAATAACGAATAATTAATAGATAATGAATGAAGTCATTGTTAACCCCTGATGATATGAACTAACAAAACCAAAAAAACTTTTTCTAAATGTGACCGCACACAATACAATCCTGTACGTATACTGTACAAGCAGGGGAAAAAATATAATTTATTTTTCGGGGGCTTCTTTTCAAGCTCGCGTGCATGAAAATAGCACTCTAAAATTTGGTTTGCACTGAACTCTAGATGCAAATTTACGGGGGCTATTTTTGGCATTTCCGGGGCTCTTTTTGGCATTTCGGGGGCTAAATCGCCCCGAGCCCCCGTGTATTTTTTTCACTGTGTACAAGAAATATATACGATAACCTCCTATGCCACGATAACCTCCTATTTATCATATATGTAATAGATTAATTAACTTTCAGTGAAACGTTAACTGCATGTATAACTGCCACATAATTCTGCTGATAACAGCTGATCGACGACACCGCGACACACGTCCAGACGGGAGCTTTGGTGTGCAGACGACCTCCACGAAAAAACTTTCAGTTTTCACAATTTCGGATAATAGATTGTGTACTCTGCTGCTGATAACAGTTGATCGACGACACTGGGGCGCACGTCTGGATGGGAGCAGCAGCAGCAGCAGCGGAGTCGGTGTACCTGCTCGAGTAGTCGAGTCCGATTTCGCCGAGGGCCCGGACTTTGTGATGCGTGAGGTTGTGGCGCAGTACCTCCACCCTGGCGTCGGTGAGCTGGTGTGCGTAGTGAGGATGGCAGCCGAACGCAGCAAAGACGTCATGCTCCTACATCACAGAAATCAGCCTCTTGCTATGCGTAATTCGTATGCATAAAATTAATCTTGCGTAAATAGAAATACTAAAAACGGGTTTATTGACATTAAGACTACAACAGCTTCGTCGATCATTTCCAGGTGAAGGAGATACGATCGGGAGACACTAGCTATCCCGGGGAGAACCGACCTTCCACGTTTCACATCGAGGGGCCCGTGAACACCCTCTACTCCGAGATACTAGCAAATCTCATCTGCATGGACAGGTGACCGGGAGCGTTTCTCCGCGCTCCCCCCATCCTTGCTCAAGAACAGCTTGGCTCGCTTCTTTTCTCCCTTCGAGGGGCGTGTAGCAGGATTTTCTCTGCACGCCCACAATGCTCTTTGAGTGTAGATATCGACTACACGCAGCCTGATCAGCGGGGAGATCTAGTAATCGTTTTACGCGTCTGCTGTTTGTGGATTGTCTTCGAGGACGCGTGTTATCGAAGACGAATTGTAATACTCAGTATGAGAGGTGGCTCAACGTAACTTGCTAGAGGAGGGTTAAGCTGGGTTTACACTACCGACTTTATGTTGGCAAATTGGCGAGTTGGACCAATTTCGCAATTCGGTAACTCCGAGTTGGCGAAAATAGAACACGTCCTATTGTCCCAATTAGTTGCTATCGATCGGTTGGTCGCGCAACTTTTGCGTTTACACTGCCGATTGTCGGTTGCATAGTTGGGAAGTTGGTCCAATTCGCCAATTCGCCAACACAAAGTTTGTAGTGTAAACCCAGCATTAGTTGATCGTTGTTATTATAGTCAGTATAGAATAGCGCGCGGAAGCGTGTTTTATGCTGAGAGATTACCATGGCGTTGATGTTAAATTATATTATTGCTCGCGTTTTTTTTTCTATCGTGGTTGTTATTTATTGACGTATACAAAGTAATAAATTTTAATCTGGAGGGAGTATTGTGTATATAGATATACATAGGCAATATATATTTGATCTCCACTGGCCTTTGTGTTTATGTTAACTGTGTGAGTGTGCGTGCGTACGTGCGTGCGTGCGTGCGTGCACTTGAGAGCAAAAGCAATCGGGGAAGCTGTTCGTGAGTCTCATGAGATTATTGTATAGTTATCGGGCAGCTTCCAGTGCGCTATTGCTAGTGGGCAAATATGCAATATAGCTATTGTGATAGTAGATTAAACATTGGTGTTGAACCAGAAGCACAATTTCACTGTATGTATGTATATATGGCAAGCTAGTAGATTGGTCCGTTCGTGGTGTGTGTTACGTTGAGTGGATAGGTCACGTTTATCATGTTTTACCGTATCTGTGTTGCACCGTGCGTTTCCAACCATAATCATAGCAGCAGTTTTGTGAAATTCCGTGCTACTTATGTAGTTCTGTCTACCTGTCCCCGCTTTCGCTCTCTTCTCTGCTTTTCTCGCTTACTCTCCTTTTCCAAACGTAATTCTCTCTCTTTATCTATCTATCTATCTATCTATCTATCTATCTATCTATCTATCTATCTATCTATCTATCTATCTATCTATCTATCTATCAATCTAACTATCCATCAATCTAACTATGTATCTATCTATCTATCTCACTATCTATCTATCTATCATAGCACGCAGCTATGTGGCATAGCTACCTAGCACGCAGCTATGTGGCATAGCTACCTAGCACGCAGCTATGTTGCGATTCAACTGATTATCGTTTAGCGGCATTTCGCAGGAGAACGCCCTGCGGCGTGCGACTTGCTTCCCGATGGGTATATATAGATATGTTCATCACCGCCATCTTCGTCTCTATAGGAAAGAATGTGGCGCAAGACCCGCTCCGGTCCGGAGTACTTCTTGGGCAGGGAATGCTACGGCGTCGATCCTAACCGCAACTGGGAGTATATGTGGGGAGGTACGCTGCATGGCCAGTGCTAGATTATATTTAGACGTTGACATATCGTCTCGTTAGAGGGCGGTGCGAGCGACGGCTTGCCCGTATCGCCTGTTATCGGCTCGATGATAGCAGGCTGCCAATGCACGCACGCACGCGATGTGCAGGCACACGCACGCACGCACGCACGTACGCACATACGCACGCACGTACGCACACACGCACGCACGTACCCATAAATACAATCACGTCTTATGCAATCTCATATAACAGTCCTTATAAAAGTATGCTTTATAATATCACTCATAACTACACATATAACATCCCTTATAGTAACATTGATGTTAACATCACTTATTACATTCTTATCAACGACTGACTGCGGTATTCTAATGCGTTTAAACAATATTGCAATTCCCGCTACAATAGGTTGTATGTGTATGCTACAGGTTTGGGAACCAGCAGCAACCCGTGCAGCGACACCTACCGGGGTAAAACGCCATTCAGTGAACCAGAAACCGAGATAGTGGCCGCATTCCTCAAGTCCCATTCGAATACCATTGTTGCGTATCTGAGTTTCCACTCCTACGGACAGTGGTTCCTCTACCCGTGGGGCTATGATATTGTCGAGTTGGAAGACTGGAAAGACTTGGTACATACATACATAACACCAAGCGCGCGCGCGCGTGCGCGTGCGCGTGTGTGTGCGGGCGTGCGTGCGTGCGTGTCCGTCCGTCCGTGTGTGCGCTTGAGCGTGCGTGCATGTGTGTGCGTGCGCGTGTTTGTGTGCGTCTGTGTTCGTGCACGAGCCAACCGAGTGGTTCCAATTGACGGCTGGAGAGTTCACCAATTGACAAGTTTATACAAGCTTCTATTCTATCGCAGGATACGTTGGCCAATGATGCTGCTTCAAAACTGAGGGTTGTATACGGCACTAGGTACACGGTCGGAAACTCTGCCGGTCTTCTGTGTAAGTGTTGATAGCGTTTAATTTAATTTAAATTTAAATTTAATTAAAGCCCGATTTATCGGAGGAATTGCGATATTCGGCCTCCAGCGAATCACGGGCAAACGCGAATAGATTAACCGTTCTGCTTTCGCTCTCCTACTCATCCCTCCTCCCTCTTTTACGTGCTCTCTCTTTCTATCTCACTCACTTTCTTTTTCTCTCTTTCTTTCTCTCTCTCTCACACACACGCGCACGCACGGACGCACGCACGCACGCACACACACACACACAACACACACGCACTCACGCACGCACGCACGCACGCACGCACACACGCACACACACACACACACACAGACACACACACACACACACAGCACACACACATCACACACCACACACTACACACACACCACACACACACACACACACACAACACACTGGCGCTCTCTCTCTCTCGCTCTTACACACTAGCGCGCGCTCTATCGCTCTTACACACTAGCGCGCGCTCTATCGCTCTTACACGCTAGCGCGCTCTCTCTCTCTCAGACTTCGGCTCTCGCTCTCGCTCTCTCGCTCTCTCTCTCTCTCTCTCTCTTACGCACTTGCGCTCTACCTCTCCCTCTTACACACTTGCACGCGCTCTCTCTCTCCCTCGACCCATTCCGTCGCGCGCCCACCTCCTGCTTCCACGCGCGCGCTGACGAAATTTCTATCGGCACACAGACCCGGCGGCCGGCGGCTCTGACGACTACGCCAAGAGCGAGGGTATCAAGTACGCCTACACCGTCGAACTGAGAGACGAGGGACGTTACGGATTCGTGCTGCCCGCGAACCAAATCGAACCGTCGGGCATCGAGACGTACGAGGCCATCAAGGTGTTCGGCACCTGCATCGCTGCCAACAACTGCCCCGAAAACGTCGAGTAGTACGCGAAATGAGCGATAGATGGCGCTAACATGGCTACGCTAACCACCGCGGTAATTTCAAAGTGAAGTTGACAAAGTTTTCTCATTCTTCCACTGTTTGTTTCTTTGAGAGTTCCCGACATATTCAGCATGGTGATAGGAAGATGATTGCAGAGTAGAAATTCCGTTTACGAATAAGAGTGTGCGCGCGCGTATAGAAATAGCAGCTACGTCTATTGCCACCCATGTGTGGCAAAATCTCCAAGGTTCATCTGATCTGGGGCTCATCTGTAATGCTGCGTTTACTTTACACTATCGATTTTTGTCAGCAAATCGTCCGAGTCGTGCAAAATAGAACACGTTCTATTTCTCCAACTCGGCGACTTGACTCCGACTCCGACTCCGACTCCAACACAATCGAATTTCTTGGAATGCACTTGGGTCGAGTCGTGGGCAAGTTGGAATGCACTTGAAATCGCTACGATTTGCTGACAGACGATAGGCCCCCTAGTGTAAACGCAGCATAACAAACCCTTTACTTTAGCTAGCTTTTACAATTCAATAATACCACCTTTCCCCTACTATTAGACTCGCTGCTTCTGGACCTTGGATTTCGCAAAGATATTAAATTTTCCGTTGTAATCGGATCACGGATGCATGCATGACCTTCACAGAGATCAATGCATGGGCCAACTTTTGTTAGAAAGCACAACGGCCGTAGCTTTTCAAGCAACGATAGCAGATGTAGATTTTAAGCAAAAATCGGCAATAAACTAATAAATGTTGTGAAATACCCACGTCAACGTGTCTGCTTATCTTTCTACTGAATTGCTTTTGAATTGTGAGATGAACGCGTGTCAACAATACGCCAATAGTTATTACATACACGCATGGAGGGCGAGAAGGCTAAACGGTAATGCACACACAGATAATGGTGTGAAGCACACGGTAGCAATGCTCATGCAGCAAACGCATTTATCATTTATAATATCGTAATTATCGTATCAAAATATCGAACATCGTGTCAGGAAATATGGCAGCACGGTATCTCATGCATGACACCTTCCCTACGAACGTGACAAGTATAGGCTCATAGCTGTTGCGGGAACGGGGAAGTGGCCACCTGCCCACCATCCAATGTAAATACTATTACATAGTCAATAGTGACAATACACAACAGCAAACTTCCCGCTGTTAACTGCCCAACCCACTTGCACTATATTGGTCAAGAGATAAAGCAGCAGCAGCTGCATGAAATGTTGATGATTATAAGGCTAAAAATATATTAGAATATTTATAGAAAATAAATTTATTAAGTACAATTCCATTATACATAAGAAATACGTCAAAGCAATACATGAGAAGTGAGAACTGGTTTTAAATTCAAAGAAACTTTAAAAACTAATCTACAAGACAGATTCCAAAGGAGAGCATAAAGAGAATGACGTTATAGACATGATATGAACTATCAAAACAAAACAAAACCACAATATAAATGTGACCGCACGAAATACAAACTGATACAAACCTGTACGTATACTGTATAATAAAAAAATATATACGATAACCTCCTATGTCACACCTGCCTATAGACGACCAACGTTTATTATATATGTAATAGATAATTAAACAAACTAATCTTTTGGCAAAACATTAAGTACATGTATTATTTATAACTGCCAGATAATACTGCCGATAACGACCCTACGAAACTGTGCTTAGCAGTTTATAACAAAAAACATGAACCAGTATAAACATTTCAATAATAAAGGAATGCGCTGAGAAACTTTCCAGCATTTATCAAATCTTTGGCGATACATAAGGAAATAAATCTCACTTTTCATCCCTGTAATCTTCGATACTAGGGCTACCAGTTGAAGATAGAGCAAGGATGAATGACACTTCCCCAAAGTGAACATAACTGCCAGACTATGCTTGTCAGATACATTCTGTATAATACTGAGTGACTTTGTAAGCTAGGGCCAGAAACGTAAATAGTAATGAGGTCAGAAGGCTAACGCATCACAACATTTGTAGCAAATTGTAGTCCTGAGGTTATGACGTTTTAGATACACAACTTCAATCAAGGTTATGACGTCTTAAATACATGACTTCAATCAAAGTTATGACGTTCTATGACGTGATGGTACAGAACTTTAATGTACATTCATGACGTTTCTGCCAACATGTATAGTTACGAACATCCTGAGTGCTACGACGGTAGTATTATGGGTTGATATGATTAAGTACTTGAATAATTTAATCATATAAGTATTGCAAGTGAAGTAATTCGTCAATGTCATGACAGTGCTACCTGCCAATCAGTTGAGCACTGGCCGCTTTGAGCTGGCTTTGAGTCCATTTTATTTTGTGCATTGTGATTTACTGACCTGTTCATTTTATGTGCATATACAACTGTGTGGATGACTGGCAATACATGTAAAAATGCTTGAGGAAGACATGTAGGCCTACTGTTTGCCAGTTGAACCTACTTTTTGGATATAAGTGTTTTCATAATGTACATTATCACTACCTGTATCACATAAAAACCTTGTATACATTCAGAGATGCAATGTGAAAACAATGATTTAAAACCTCATATTAGACAATTCAGTAAATCATAATGATTTTGAAACTTTATTCACAATTCTATTCATAACACAAGCATTCAGAATGACCATTGTTTATTTCGACACTCGATGAAGAAAGGTGCGGTGGATCAGTCCATGGGGGGACAGGCACTTGTAAGTAAGCGAAAAAATACCTAGAGACGTTATCGCGGTAACTAACTTTCGACACTCGATGAAGAAAGGTGCGGTGGATCAGTCCATGGGGGGACAGGCACTTGTATGTCAGTAAGCGAAAAAATACCTAGAGACGTTATCGTGGTAAGTAACTTTCGACACGCGGTAAAGAAAGGTGTGGGGGATTAGGCCATAATAAAAATATTGTTTGTTTGCCCTCACCCGACCGACCTGCCAAAAAGGGGCCGACTCAAATTTTTTTTTATTGATCTTTCCCATTCTTTTTTTTTTACAAATTGTATCACTGTACATTATATAAATCTGTAGGCAATATATATTATATGTACCAAGCAAAACAAATATTCAACATAAAAGGTATCTCCACACAAGCACACCCGAGCATGTAGACACCACGCTGAATTTGTAAAAAGACTCCCCTCAAAAAAGAAAGAAAAAAGCCTACCTACCTACCCAAACTTTTCAGCCTGGGTCGGGTGAGGGCAAACAAAGATTTTTTTAATTGTGGCCTTAGTCCATGGGGGGACTGGCACTATTCACTTACTCTTAGCATGGGTGCCCACATGGATTTCCTTGTAAATGTCATAGGATCGCAGAAGATCGCGATGCACGATTCAAAATTTGTCGGGAACGTTGTCGCATTGATGGACTTGTACTCCGTGAACGTGCCCTTGAAACCAGACCTAGAATATAAATTGGTATTAATACGAATAGAATTAGTTTATCACTATCACTTACCACGGCTATCAAAATTCGAAGCAATGTCGAATTTACTGTAAACTCGTTGCCTAATTTAATGCAATCTGTACTGGTACTTTACCTATTGAAGAGGAAATCTAGGTGACAGTGCGTATCCACAAACTTTTCGGTACACTGCAGGTTGAAAAGTTTGGTGATGTGCCAATCACGCGTGTTATCGAGTGAAAACCTCCGCTTTTGCACCTGGGAAGTGAAGCCACTACACTATAAATAAATAAAATAATTAAATAATGCAGATGATTAAGATGAGTGTGGATAATTAAACACTGAATTCGCATCGACGAATAATGGAATGGCAGCACACTCTATCACTAGTTATCACCAAGTGCTATTAACTATTGCTGAAGAATACAACTGCATGCAAGAAATAATGCGAGAAAACTAAATAAACAACTACCATTAATAATCGCTGAACAATACAACCGCAAGGAGAAACAAGGCGAGAAAATCGTAAGTGAAGCGATCGATCTAAAATTAAACGAGTCAGCGGACATTCACCTGAGCCGCGGCAGCCTGCATTCCATCCTGGTCCTCATTGTGATGGCTCCTCCCCGAAAACGCAATCGTCGAGTTGAGCTGCTCCGCCACCGAGACGCGACCGGCCGCCGCCGGCGCCGCGACGCCACCGCTGCCTCGGGGGTTGAACCCGTAATACTGCTGGCTGAACGCCATCGGTCCCGACGCAGGGGGTGCCGACGTGTCGCGGGCTGCCGGCGAGAGCAGGTCCTCGCTCAGTCCGCACCGTGTCGCGTCGCTGTACGATCGCTTCGTCGCGGGGGCGGGGGTCGGCCTCGCATGGGTTGGCGTCTCGTGGGTTGGCCTCGCGTGGGCCAGTGTCTCGTGGACCAGCGTTGTGTGGGTCGGCATTGCGTGGGTGGCGGTCGTCAGAAGCGGCTTCCGATCGGGCATGCTCGCCCGCGCGCCGCCGCCACCGCCGGACGGGAAGAAGGACCACTCTCCGGCCGCTCCATCCTCGCGCGATCCCACCATGTTGTTCGCCATGTCGCGCCACTCCTCCCGGGCGCGACTCGCGGCGGGATCTCCGTTCGACCTCCGACCCCGCTCGTCGCCGGCGGAGACGTCGCGCGCCTTGTGCCGCTTGCTCTTCGACGCCGCGTCGTCGTCGCGTCGCTTATCCTCTCCTCCCTCGCCGATCATCAGACGCTTTAGGCTGTCGTTGCTCCCCGCCCGCATGCCGCCGCCGCCAGGGGGCTGTGCCGTCACCCACGCGACGCGCGGTGAGACCTCGCCGCGCGCTCCCCGTCCGTCGGCGAGGCAGCCGGCGATCGTATCCGGACGGACGCCGGCGGGCGGCGCGTTCGACCTTGAGCCGTCCTTCGGCGACGGCGCCCGGGCAGCTCCCATCGGCAGCTTGCGGGCGGCGGCGGCACCTGTAGCTAATAGTGAAACATTCGTGTTACGCGTGTTGCCGCGGCGCAGGGGAGAGTGCGGCGGCGGCGATGAGGCAGCAGTGCGGAGCGGCGGACGAATCACGGACAT